CAAGCATAACACCAAACGACATGGTCGCTGGCACGATACTGCAAGCAGCCCGGACACGATCACCCTCCCCGCTGCGCGCAGGCACCGCGTAAGGCGCACTGGTCTGCACTCTGGTCGGAAAGCAAGGGCCACAATCGCAACAAGTGGCGGCGTGTCGCCAAGCAGCCTAACTTTGACAAAGGTCGGAACAACGTCATCCTCTGTCCACGACCGCCGCACAGCCACATCCGCGAGGACAGACGTACACGCGGCGCATCGTTCCCAGTATCGCACGGCAGAGGATCTGGCGGATGCTCGGGATTTTCCAGAAGTTCATCATTGAGAGTGTACAGGAAGGTGTACTCACAAGGCTGTAGGCGACGGAGGGAGCTGTAGGCGACGGAGGGAGCTGTTGGCTCGTTTGCGAAAAGCGAAGGCTTGTGGTCTTGGGGCACTGGGGCCCAGCCTCACCCATGCCCTTGTGCTTTCATGGTCACGGGCTGCAGGACCGATGCGCACACCGGACACTTGGGTGCAAGGAGGGGCTCTGCACCGCTCCTGACTGGAACCATGGCAACCTCCCCTATTGGCCATTGCACGACCCAGCATTTACGGGCAGCCGGTGACCCGCTGGCTCGCGTGGACTTAATTCATGCTGAACGACTTTGCCGGCTAAGTCTGTGCGTCGCAGCCGATGTTTCACATTGTACAGGTTTTTGTTCTTCTTGCGTACTCCGAGTGCAGCAACTGCTGTCTTTGAGGCCCACCCACGCCAAACAAAAGCCGGAGCCTCACCCCTTGGGCATACGGCGGGTAGTCAAGACGGAGGCCCATGGGTACATCAGGGAAGTCTCGACGGACGATCTCTTCAAAGCGGCCGGTCACCGTGTGACCTCCCAAGAGGAAGAAGCGTTCCGGATACCACATCGTTTTTCTTTTGGGCCTAGGCAGCCAAACGTCCAACGCAGCTTGTCGATCGTACCCTCCCAGCCAAGGCGCTAGACCAATTGAACACCAGTGTTTGAACTCGAGGTTTGCCAGTGTTCGAACTTCGGGTTCGAACACTCGTTCGAACTGGAGTTCGAAACTGGTGTTTGAAATCGGGGTTCAAACACTGGTAAATGTTTCTTATCTCTTTGTCTTTTCTTCGCCAAAAGCCCCCATAAATTTGTGTTCATGAAAGTTTTATAGACCAGCTCGAACCCGGAAATCGAACACCAGTGTTTGAACTCTGAGTTCGAACAGTGTTCAACTCGAGGATCGAACACTGGTGTTCGACCTGGGGTTTGAATACAGTTTGAACTCCGGGCTCGAACACCTGTGTTCGAACTCGGAGTTTTAGCACTGTGTTCGAATCCGGAGTTCAACTCCGGTTCCTGTTCCAACTTAAGTTCCAGTGTTATGTTCTCCGAACCCCCCCGGCCCTCCCAAGTGTTCGAACCCGGGGTTCCGGAACACTGCAAAAACCTATGCTCCTGTGCAGGTTGGTTGTCCAGACTGAAACATTTTTTTGTGGGGGTGCGCAGATCTCTTGCTGTGAGATCCCTCCAAAACCACCGCAGCCAACATTTCAGAGGCTCGACCGTTTTTGACGGCCAATCCAAATTGATTACGGGCTGCAGGGCCATGTGAGTTTGCAGGGGCAGGTTATCAAAGAGATTGTTTCGACTGCACTCAGTTTCTGCAAAACAACTTCGCCGGCTCGGTCTGTGTCGCAGCCACTTTGTTTTCACTTTGTGCAAGAACTTGTTCACAAAGAAGAGATTGGAGAAGTTTTGACATTCCGCATGGAGCATGTTACCAAAGCTAAGTCGTTCTTTTGTGTTCGTTTGTGTTTGGTTTCAGTTTGTGATTTTTTTCATTTCAGTTTTGATTCGTGTAGCTTCTTGTTCTTTTGTTGTGGTTGTGATTGCGTTTTGTTTTTTAAGTCTGCTTTTCTTATTTTACTTTCTTCGCAAAAACCACCCATAAAACGATTTCGTGTGGCTTCTTCTTCTTCTTGTTTTGTGTGTGTGTGTGAGATTCCGTCTTACTTCATTCATTCTTCTTTTATCATTGTTTTCTTCGCAAAAACCACCATAAAGCGATTCGTGTGCTTCTTCTTCTTGATTGTGTCTTCTTTGAGTTTCTATTTTTTTTGCCCTCGCGGGGGGGTTGGGGGGCGCACCCCTCCCCCATTTCCTTTCCCTTCAAGCCTTCCGTTCAATGCCCTTTCAAGCCACACAAGTACTTTGAAGTTCCCCCTTCAAGCCACCTTTTGCGGCTTGCGGGGCTTAAAGGGAGGCGGGGGGGCTTCAAGGGGCTTCAACAGGGCGTGAAGGGGGCTTAAAGGGGGGCTTAAGGCTTCGAACCTCTCCCCTTAGGGGAGACCCCAAAAGAGGACTTTAAAGGGGCTTAAAGGGGGCTTCAAGGGGGGCTTATTCTCCCCTTTGTCAAACGGGGTGGGATCCATCCTCGTGCATAGAGAGGTTTTTGTTTCTTCCAGTTGAAACTTTTGGGACCGAGCGCAGCAGCCGCTGTCACCGAGGCCCGACCACGCCAAAAAAAATCCTTTCTTCCGCTCAACTCTTCGCCTATCGGAGACGCTGTCCGCCCACTGCCAGTGGCGATGCAACAATGCATACGTCGGCCATTGCGCGACTCTTGATTACGGGAAGCGGAGCCATGCTTTATGCTTGCCATTGCGCAACCCAGCTTTGCGGGGAGCGAGGCCAGTGAGCGAATAGGCCCGGATGCATCTTAATTCATTCTGTATGTCGCAGCCTTTCGTTTCACTCTGCACAGTTGTTAGTTTTCTTTATTGTTCTCTGTTGTTTACTGGGACCGAGCGCAGCAGCCGCTGTCCGAGGCCCGTTCACGCCAAAAAATTAAATCCCTTCAATTTTGAATTTCTTGTTTTATTTTGTTTTTCATCGCCTTTAATCCCAAAACGGACGGATTTTGGAGTTTTGAACGGCTTAAGATTCAATAAGAGCGCAAGAGTTTGTAAGGGTTTTGCACGGAAGTTGGAAGGCAAAAGCGCAGAGTTTAGCGGATTCAGGTGTGATTAGGGTTTGGAGCACAGGTGAAGACACAAGACAGCATCGCAACAATCCGAGTTTGTCTTGCCCGGCTTTGCGATTCGCGAACATTGTCACGTCAAACATCAAGGAAGGCATCTGGGTGGCTGTGGACATCACACAAGGTCACGACTTATTCAATCAACAAAACACCGTCCTCTGACGACATGTTTCCCAGTTGCTGAACAGGTAAAACGTTAGTAGAACGAGGCTTTGTTTGCACAAAATTAAAAACATAAACAGGCGTCTTTTGTGTTGATGTATGCATGCATGCAGCATGTGCAAGGTATGTGCGAGCGCAGGAATCATAATACCAAAACATTGTTTGATGCTGTGTGAGCTATCACAATGGAATAAAACTGCAACCCTGTCGTGTGTCACGTTGAAAACAATAAAGTAGCCTTGAAACGCCGCAATTCAGTATGCTAACGGAAGCTTCGCGGCATCGATGCAAAGCACGCAATGTGCTTCACATCTGTTATGATTTAGACAGGCAAACATTGACCTTCCAGAACAACACATCACATTTTATTCTCTTCTGTTTCCACATGATCGAATGTGCGTTATTGCACTTTATCATACGTTGTGAACCGGCGACTCCAGCTGGTCGATGTCACAGAAACATACTCGCAAGTGTTCCAATGTTCAAATCTTTAAGAAATCTTCCGTTCACCCAAACATTTTTTCAAACATGCACGATGCATGCCACCCAGCATTCGCGTGAAACAGAGGGCGCACCGTGCAGCTTGTAATAGATAACAGAGACGCGCAGTTGTTGGCTCAGGGTTCGAAGAGGTCACACCAAACTCAGTTTCGACAGTAGTCGCGCGGACAGGGGGCTTCTCTCAAATTCAATTTGAGAATTCTGGAATCCAGAATTCTCGAAGGGGGCTTGAAGCCCTTTTCAAGCCCTCTTGAAGGGTCTCGAAAAATTGAAGCTTCCTTCAAAAATTCCTAGATGGAGATGTGTTTTGCAGGGACTTTGTTTGCCCCAGCCCTGCGTTGACTTCCCATTTTGCCGCGGCACTGCATTGGTTCAAAACCAGCGTCATATGTCTTGACGCCCTGGGTCCGAGGCTCAGTTCATGGGACTGAAACATATCTCCACGCATGCTGGAATTGTTGTTGTTCGATGGCTTAAGGCCGACGGGCGATGGCCCTGCGCCCGTAGCGGTCATGACCTTTGCAGGGGCCTCAGTGTTAGTAACGGCGAGCATTCGCAATCTCATGCGTGACGTTCCATGCTAAGAGCTGCCAACCAAGAAGCATGTGTCTGTTGAAGATGCTTCACATGGTTTTCAGGGCATTGGACATGAGCCTTTGCAAGCCGTTGCATGACTGACGGCAGACCATCTCGCAAAGTCACGAGTTTGCCTCGGACCGAGGATTTCGGTAGTGAACGGCAGGCCATGCGCAAACATCTTGGAGCGAGTGAGTAGGACCGACGCATCGTGGTGCATCGAGTCTGTACTCTACCGGCTGCCAGAATCCCAAGAGTCCTGAGAATCCATGGTGACTCTCTCTGGAGGCACTCGTCCTGCGATTCCTTCTGGCCGTGGTCTGTGCAAGGACCTGAGACAACTGATTTGGCAGGAAAGGTTGCTGGCAGTTTCACATGCTTTTCCGCGCTTTTGCCAGGTCCTCCCTTTGGCCAGCGGCAGCTCCAACCGAGCCCTGCGAAGTTTCTTGGATGCGACGTGTTCACACCGTGGAAGACTCAGCAGCCTTTTCTCCGTTTCACCTCAGGTCGCTCCCTCGGTGTAGCCGAGGCCTGGCACTCGTTCCTGCCATTGTCGAGTCTAGAGTCTAGAAGTCTAAGATGTGCCAGGAGGCCGGGAATTCGCTGCAACTCAGCTTGCTTCGGCTCACAGACCACGGAGAACACACAGCTCATGCACTCATGAGCCAGTCCAGCCGGCCGCCGCCATCGAAAGAGCACTGGAACCTTTTGATCCGTGCGCCATGGCTTCGGACAGCTTGGAGGAAGCCCGGAGGCATCATGGGGCTCATCAGGGGTGACTGTGTTGAAGCCCCAAGGCGGCAGAGGCCAAGAGGCATCATCTGGTTCATCACGAATGGAAAGCGAAAGAAAGCTCAAGACTGTGGTTGCGTTTCACCAGGCTTGTTGACGAATCATCTCGGATCGTCGTGCTCACCGGGGCTGGGGTCAGCAGCTTTCTTGCAGCAAATGACCGCTCGGTTGCGAACTTGCAATACTGCATGGTTCCGTTTCAATTTGACTTCTTTGGTCCTTCATGTGTTTGTTCGCTTGCGCATGAGTGTTGAAGAAATGTGACCATGCGAAGGCACAGACTCTGGAATTCCAGATTTTCGGGGACCTGAAGGGCTCTGGACAAAGAATCCAGGCCAGTTCTCAGTTGATGGCCTTTTGACACTCCGGTGCAGCCCAAATTGCACGTGCTGTTTGGCTCGCTGTCCAGGTGCAGAGGAGGCGTCCGACATCTCCGTCTTTGTAAGCGATGAGGGCGCTCGAAAAGCTTCTCTGCTCAGACATTGAGAGTCGTTTCTTCAGCTTATGTCTTGAACTTCATGTGGGCCCTATTTCGTTCTGCCGGATCGGTCCGGGGATTGGCGACATGCTGACCTTCCAGACCAATCTGCGAGAAATGATCAAAGCCTAGCACGATTACCGAAATGGAACCGTTGCAGACTCGGAGTCAGTGGCCAGGTTTTGGCGCATGATGGTCTCCATGCGTTCCGATGGTCACGTGCCGCAGCCGAACGCTGGGCACCGTGCGCTGCTGCATCTTGAGGAAGCAGGTTTTGTATTGTACTTGGTGCTGCCTGCAGGCATACTGGTATGCGCACATGGGGGGTTATTCTTCGTGGGACCGGTGCAAAATGCTGCAGAAGTGCGGCTTGAAAGGAGAGAAAAAAGCTGCAGAAGCTGGTCACACAGAAGCTCGACGCGAAGAGCTGGGCATTCAACACAGCAGAATCAGAAGCTCACCTCCTTTCATGAATCGGCCAGCACCGTGTACAGTAGTCTGTCAAGGAACGTGGATGGGCTTCACCAAGCGGCAGGAACCTCTGCAGAGCGCGTGGTGGAAGTGCATGGCAGCACGCAGGCACATCCAAGAGTGTTATTTTCTCATAGGCCGCGACCGATGTGTCGGCTTTGTGCTAGGAGAGCTGCTGCCTTTCCTGTGGCGAACAGCGCCCCATCGCGGAAGCCTGGAGTCCAAGTCCCAGGTGCGTCTTTGCAGAGAGCACATGCTGCCTGCAGTGGTCCAAATTACCCAATGCCCAGGTTCTCAGTCAGGTGATGTCTGGCTTCCATGATCCACGATGTTCTTGCGGAGGGCTACTGCTACTGGGACTGTCTCGGAGTGATCGCCGGTCCAGATTCCGTGGTGAAAGCAGATCATCTCGATTTTTGAGTCTGGTTTATTTGCAGATTTGCTGTCTTGTGGCTGCACAGCTTCATGACTCTATACCTGCTTGTTGCTTGCACTGATTCGTGTTTTGACTAGTTCTGCGATTGTTCCGTCACCTGCAGTATTGTCATCAACATCCTCCTCCTACTCATCATCGTCATTTTTGTTGCTGCTTCCTCACCTTCCTGCTGCTCCTGTGCTGCTACCCGTACCACTACCGCCTCGTACTACTACCACCACGACAAATACTACTGTGACGAGGACGACGATTACAGCGACGACTGCTAGTGCGACTACGATGACGACAACTACTACTACAACTACAACTGCTACTGCCACGATTATCGGTTCAAGAATTCGACCGGGTCGTTTGCCGATGCCCGGGTGTCTGAGATCCGTAGATGTTAACACACTCATGGTTTGCATTGCACCCATCGGTGAAAGCACACATCCCCGCCAATACAATAGCGTCCGTGGTCGCATTGCATCATTCCCAGAAACCTCAAACGCATCAATCCTGCAAACGTTCCGGAAGCCTCTTCGTGTCTTCTGACCAAAACCTGCTGAACACTTGAAAAACTAACCACGGACGGTGCATCAACGGAATTTCCAAGAACCTGCCCAAAACTCCAAAACGCTCGCGAACCCGGAGGCGTTCAGCACATGCATACAAACAGCCCACTACCACTACCACAACCGCACGGTTTGGCGGCTCGATATTGCCCAGAACCTCCTTTTGTCGAAGAGTTTCAGGAAAGGAAGGCGAATGTGGTACTCTTTGGAGAAGCACTTCCGCCTCTCGCTCTGGCAACGTGGCTTTGCTGGCATCCGGAGTCCAGATTTGCCTTGGTTTTGTGTTCACATAGGTAGTTCTCAAAATCAGGGTCCCTTTCTCGTCCCCAAAGTGGCACGGCATCCTTGCAAAAGGGGGTCTAAGAGAAGGGACCTTAATTTACCGAGAACTACCCACATGTCGCCTTCACGAAGCTCTCGGTCTGGGGCTGAAGCTTTTTGCTGGGGGAAACTGGTTTTCGTGAGCCCCCGGCCTCGCATAGTCTTCACAACTAGGCCTGAGCCCGAAGACTTGAGCGCCTCGACTCCCTCCAGGGCTTTTGAAGCTGCCCGCGACTGCGACCTTCTCATGTGCATCGGCAGCACCTTGTCGGTCTATCCCGCCCGGAGCTGAGGCTCAGAGAAGCTGCCAGATGTGTGTTGACACCGGGGATACTGACCGATTTTCGGCAGCTTCGGGGTCTTTTGGATTCTGGATGCTTTCGGTGTGGCTTGGACCTCTCGTTTGTTGGTACGTTCTTTGATACGTGAGTGATTGATGTTTTGGTGTTGTTTTCGGCTGCTGCTCTTAGATCCAATCATCTCCGATTGCAAGTTTCGGTCTCGAACTGCCTTTGCCGTAGCTTTGCTGAGCCGTACAACCAAATGACCGAGGTTGCTGCCATGGTTCCTGAAGCCAAAGAGTGCGGCGCCAAATTGCTGTGCCTTTGCCTGCAAATCTAGGTCCTGGTCCTCTCATCCTGTCGAAATGGCACGCATGATGCTGTGAGCATTCCAGGATCTTGAACCAGGGCCCAACGGAGTTTGACGAGCTTGCCGACATACGTCTTTCAGGCCGGAGAGTTCTCGACAAAGCCTGGCGGCTCGATGTGTTCTGAGCGGGGAGGCTCGATCTCCGGCGTGCTCCCGCAGATCTGCGGTTGCGACTCGAAGCTCTGATGGCAGACAAAAGGAGAGTTGGAAGAGTCTCAGCTCCTCAGGGACACGAGCCAGCTTCGTGGCGTCATTCCGGTGTCTGTGCCTGCCATGAGGGGTTTTGCGAGCAGTGACGCCTCGCCAGGCGACGCTTAGCATCGACACAGACCTTCAGAGAAACACCAGCAGCCCCTCAAGTAACCTGGCTTCCTGGAGGGGACGAGCATGTGGATACTTCTAATCTCTTGTTGCAGTCCTGGCGTGCAAGGCAACAGCAGTGGGACAAGCGGCAACAGCTCGAGTACACTTAGCTCCGCTGCCGCAAGTTCCCGCAACACTTCCAGCCGTGAGCTTATGTTTCGATGCCTGTGCCGAGGACACATGGCAGCTCTGTCGATGTGCCTGGACTGCACCGAGGCCTGCAAGACGTGCTCAACAACGGCCTGGTGGAGGGGAGCTCAGTGCAGGGGCTTCTTCAGGGATTCTTGCGACTCTCTGAGAACATGGAGCAACGATAGATCATGTTTCCAATGGAGCTGCAACACGGCAAGATCGTTCAGCCAGCGTGACAGTGCCCGTAGTGCATAGAATAACAGCTCCTTAGTTGAAAAAAGTATCGTGTGGTGCCCGAAGAGTTGCGAAAATGGAGATTCAAGCACCATGCCTGCAGTTCAGTTTATAAACCAGTTCCTGCGACTGCCATGGTCAATATTGCAAGACTTTGCTCCTCATAGTGTTCCCGAAACTCTTCTCTGCTGCGAGAGAGTCTCCATTTGCGGAGCCCCCAAACCCGAAGCCGCTCCTTCAGGAGATTGTTTCGATCAAGGGAGTCGCAGCAGGGGTTACCCTAGGCTCCCATTTAATTAAAGGAAGTCGTGTCGGAGAGCCATCGTACAGCCCAAATAACGAAGGAGAGCCTCTTGAGAGCAGGCAACCTTTGGAAAATTCTGACGTAGCCCAA